GAGAGAGAGAGAGATTGGGGGAGGGATAGAGAGAGAGAGGGAGAGAGAGAGAGAGAGAGAGAGAGAGAGAGAGAGAGAGAGAGAGAGAGAGAGAGAGAGGGGGGGGGAGACAAAACAAAACAAAACAATACCAAAAGAAGAAAGGAATAGAAAGAAAACCTGAAATCGCCCTCTGCCGCAGCCAAATTCCCAGGCCGTGTTATTGATGAAGGAAAGCCCTCGATAATTACCCTGCGCAGCTCCTCGTCGTGATGTTCCGTGTGAGAATCTTCCATGATGTCTGGTGGGCTGTGCACATTTTTTGTTCTTTTGTTGCAATCTCATCTAATTCGAAAGATTCGACTTGCGTGCGTGACTGCATCTATTTTGACAGTGATCTCATTTAAGTTCTTTGTCGAATGGTTTTTGACAATGATCTGATTTAAGTTCTTTGTCGAATGGTTTTTGACAATCATCCCATTTAAGTTCCTTGTCCAATGGTTTTCGACAATCATCTCATTTAAGTTCTTTGTCGAATGGTTTTCAACTGTGATCTTATTTAAGTTCTGTGTCCAATATTTTTTAAACATCAACGTTTTTTTCAAAATTTGTCTAGGGAATAGGGCGATGTGCTTTTGACTTGTTCACGTCGGTAGATAGTTGGAGGGGGTGCTGTGGTGTGGTTCGCTCCTTCTTTTCTCTCAAACATCTATCGTCTTTATCTCTCCTTTTTTGTGTTTGTTACTCTCTTGTATCACCTCTAATCTTGGGCTTTATGTGTTACAAGTGCCGCAAAACTCGTCTTGCTAAACCCAAAAATAAAAATGGAACGTCTTGTTCAGATTTTGTCGAAGGAACAGGGCGATGTGGTTTTGACGTGGACAAGTCGCATCTCCCATCTGAAGGCCTATTGTTTACTGTGCACCCCTCAGAAGTTTTTGAGGGTTTCATCTTCATCATAAAAATTAACCAGTCTTATTAGATGTGTGTGTGGGTTTGTGTGTGTGTGTGTGTGTGTGTGAGAGAGAGAGAGAGA